GGCCATGAGTGGAGCGCACTGGAGGGCAAGACACGTGCCAGGGGTGTGCCGAAATGGGCGGGGGGGACGTCATGCGAGCGCGCCCTCTGAGGCATGAGTGGAGCCCAAGAAACGTGCCAGGGGTGTGCCGAAATGGGCGGGGGGAATCCATGCGGGCACGCCTGGGGCCATGAGCGGAGCTCCTTGCTGGGGCACGAAAAGTGTGAGGCGTATTCCGAAGGAAGCGCGGGGACGCCACGCCAGCATCCCCACTTGGGCTATAGGCGGAGCTCCGCCTACGACTGCCGACAGAGTCCTTCCCCTCCTCCTCCTCCTCCTCCTCCTCCTCTTCCTCCTCCTCCTCCTCCTCTTCCTGCTCCCTCTTTCGGTCGCTGTCAGTATCGGCCATGCGGTCGAGTCCGACCGTGGCCGCTCCAACCTGCTCCCTCTGCTCCCCCTCCTCCTCCCTCCTGCCTCCTCGCGGCAAAGGTCACAAGCCATCAAACAGGGCGAGCTCGCAAGGGGCGACCCGGAACGTCCCAGATTGGCGGCGCAGGCAGGAGGCCTCAATAACAATTGCGCACTGTTCTGGGATAAATTCTCCCAGTGGCCGCGTTCGCATGTACAGTGGAGGCCAGCCCACAAGAAACCTGCCACAAGAAGAAACCCAACACTGAGATCGCCGGACGTCCATTGATTTTTGGTGTGGGAACGTCGCGCTCTCCATAGCAAAGTTATCGAAACCCAAGAAACTCAGGGCAGCCTGGAGGCACGCAGGCTGGGTGTCTCTTGGCACGGATCTCCATGGCAAGGCCAATTTGGCCAGCATGCCTAAGAAAGAGCGCGACGCCGCCACGGCAGAAGCTGAGCTGGACTGTCGCGGGGCCCTCCTGGCAGCGTGTCTGTACTTCCAAGGGCGGTCTTGGAATTTTTGCTGGCCCCGTCTAGGGCAGTGCGGGACCCGACACACGTAGAGAACCGGGAAATATGTAGAAGCCAAAATTCGGCGATGGACAAGCCTCCCTTTAGTAAACCTCCCCTTAAGGAAAACGGCCTGGGACCGAAACCGACGGACCTGGACCCGCAAAAATGACGGCCGCGACGGCACCTCGCGAACCGAAAACGGCGAATTCGCTAATCGACGTGTCAGGGTAGGAGGTCTGTCCACCCCCGAAAAATAGTCATGATACTGGCTTTTGCCGGCTTTCTGCACTAGCCTTGGAGCCCTCTTGGGTCGGTCGTGCGGCGTCGCCTCCGGAGCTGTCCTGAAGCTGTCGTGGAGAACTCTGGAGCTCGTTCGAGCCGTCCCGGAGCTTCGCCCCTCCTCTGTGGCTCATGGAATCCGTGTGGGGTCATCTTTGGCCGTCCAGGGTGCCCATTGGGCCGTCCACGTGCCTTCGTGGGCAGTCGTGTGGCCCTCTGGGCAGCCTCTTGGGGCTTCTAGGTAAGATTTGGGAGCCTCTGGGGCTGTCTTGGGCACTGGGGATCCCGACAAAGAGGGAACAGAAAACTTACAATGACCGCACAGACATAAAAGATGGATACACGTTTCTTTCAAAAAGATTTGGGGCGCTTTTGGGAAGGTCTCGGGGCGTCTCCTGCACGGAGAATGTGTAGATGGCGGAAGCGGAGATGAAGGGAGAGGAGTCTTTTTCCGCAACCACGCAAGCTCGCAGGGCGGCGGCGGGGAGGGTGCCAGGAAGTTGCATCAGGAGGGGAAGTGGCGCAGGACAGACACGACAATCACTCCATGGGGACTGCGTCTGCGTGGTGCTAGCAAGACGAAAGCACCCATTAAGCATCCGCCGAACCCGCTTGCTGGGGGTGCAAAGTCCTGTGAGATTATTGGCGTTCCCCCTTCCCTCGTCCCCCTTTCCCTGGAGCTCCACATCGCGCTCGAGGGGGGATCACAGTGCTCCTTTTTGCGGCGTGCACAAGGGGTTTATTAAAGGGGAGGGGGGAAGGCTTCTTAGAAAGAGACTGCTTCTTAGAAGGCGCGGGCCTTACATCTACAAATAAGGCCCGCGCCTTCTAAGAAACAGGGATGTTTCTAAGAAGCCTTCCCCACTCCGTCTACCCCCTCCTGCGAGTGGCCGATCCTAAACGCATCCCTGGGGTTTCCAGAGCCTCAAAATCCAGAGTGTGTGGCCTCGAAAATGCCCAAGCCCAAAGCTCCATTTAAGCTTGCTCAAGCTGGGCTTCAACACGCTGGAGAGGCCGAACAACCACTCTAGACAGTCCCAAGCCGGCCCAAGAGGCCTCCAAGACGCCCCAAGATAGCTCCGAAGACTCCCGCGAGAGCCCCAATGCCCGAATCGTCTCGATGCCTGAGCAAAACGTGCACTCGGAGCTTCTAAATAAGCGTGGGGGGGTCAACCTCGCCTCGTCGTCGCGCCGCGACGGGGGTCGGAGCGAGTTCGGCGCGCGGTGGCTGCCAGCGACGAGGGCCGATGTGGGGCTGTCGGCGGGGGTGACGCCCCCCCGACGCGCACTAATAAACTCGGAGCATGCTCAGGCTACTCGCCAGTGTTGTCCTCACAGCGCCCACGACGGCCCAGGGGGTCACCAAGATCGCCCCAGGATGGCCCACGAGGCTTAAGTCGGGCGGGTCCCCCTACAAGGAGACTTTGGACAAACAATACATGATACGCAACAAATGCGCCCAAATGACAAAACATCCACAACAGAAAATCCCCTGACTAGTGTTTGGCTACCTTTGAACATTCCCCCTGTAGAGGGACAGGCCCGACTTAACACGAGATCCGGGGCCCAAACAAAAAGGCCCCAGAACGGCCAAGACGGCCCAGGAGAGCCCAAGGGCGCCCCGAGAAGGGCCCGACAGTGAGAACTCGAGCTGACATGTGGAGCCCTTGGCCCAGGAGGCCCAGGATGCCTCCAAGAGGCCCCCGTAAAGCCCCCAACGGGCCCCCAAAGAGGCCCTAGAAACTCCCCCTGAAGCCCCCGAAAGACGTCCAAGAGGCCCCTGAGGAGCATCTCATGAAACACTCGCATGCGTCCAAAAGTCTGCTCATCCAGCCCAGGCAAAGTGGCGGGCGGGCCAGAGGGTCACTAGACAACTCCCACGATCGTGGCCTTGGGGTCAACGGGGTGGCGTAAGCCACTGGAATCACCACCTATCGAGATCCGCTAAATTGCCTAGACTTAACAAATTGCAGCATTTCGCTGGACGCGCGACTAAAACGACGCGTGTGGAAAATATGTCCGTTCCACCCGAGCTGCTGTGGGCTCGGCAGGACGTGCGACCTCTTGGCAGCACCAGCGTTCATCGTCCACCTCCTCATCTTCTCACCCTCCTCCTCACCCTCCTCCTCTTCCTCCTCCCCCTCCTCCTCCTCCTCCCCCTCCTCCTCCTCCTCCTCGACCTCGTCCTCGTCCTCCTCCTCCTCCTCGTCCTCCTCCTCCTCCTATCCTGGTAAGAGCAATTAAAAGCGTCGCCACCACTGCCTGCGCGAGGAGCCAGAGGGGATCCTCGCGTGGGCTCCCCCTGCCCGCTCGAGACACACCCCGCCCCCATCCCAGTGAAGCATCGTTCACATGCTCGCTGGAGGTGGCACCCCTGGAGATAGCGGTGTCGCGTTTCTTCCCGCCCGATCCTTGAAGCCCCATCTTGAAGAGCAAGGCGCTGCTTGAATGTGGTTCCTCGGAAATCCGCGCGGAGTGTTTGGATCGTCGCTCGGCCCCCCCCCTGGCGCGAGGAACGCGCCGGGGGGCGGCGCCAGAGACAGCGCATCCAATCAGTTCGCGCGGACCTGTAACAGATTATGCCCATGCCGCCGCTTGTTCCTCGACCACCTCAAAACTGAATGTCAGCTCGTGAACAACAAATGGCCGGACCCCCCCCCCGGGGCTGATGAACAGATCCCGCGGGTCGCGATACTTTTTGAAAAATCACACGCCCCAGGGCCGAAAAGCGAACGAGAGAGACCTCCAGGGACCAGTGCCCGATTCCTTCAGGGCACGCTTCCGCCGTGGCGAGAGAAACTCAGGCTGGAGCGACTCAAGGAGCGGGCGGTGAAAGCGGGGGGGGGGGGCAGGGCCAGGGGCGGCGGCGACGACGGCGGCGACGGAGGGGGCGAGAGAAACCCAGGTTGGGGAAGGGAAGGGCGGGTTGCAAAGCCTGCTGCGCGCACCTGGTTTCGGTCGCCCCGCCGAAGGGCCAGTCCTCGACGCATTGCTGCCTTCGGCGCCAGGAGGCGCTTGGACAATCGGCGGCGTGAGCTGCTTGGCAAATCCCCCTTTGCTGCGCCCCACTTTCGTCAAGCCCGCCTTGCCCGCAGGCAGGCCCGCATCGGCGCAACAGAAACAGGGGCGCCCTGGTTCGCCCTTGCCTCCAACCCCCCCACCCCCTTCCCGTCGTCGGCGGCCGGGCGTCGGCGCTAATCACCGCCGCCCCCCCGTTGATTTTCAATCTAGCGGGCGCCACCCCACGATTCGCACGAGCAGGGGAGTTATCTTTCTTAACACGCGCCCCCCACGGATTTGTTAATCACAAGCTGACGTTACAGTGGAGGCCAGTCCACAAGAAACCTTCCACAAGAAACCCAACCCCGAGACCCCAGGACGTCCCTTGATCTTTGGTGTGGGAACGTCGCGGCTTCCACGGCAAAAACCTTCGAAACCCAAGCGCAAACAGGGTGTGTCTTGGCATGGGCCCCCACTGTAGTGGGCCCTGGTAACGGCAAGGCCGTTTCTCAGCCATTTCCCCCTCGAGGAAACTGTTTCTGGAGCATGAAACAATACAACTGCTCTTGGAAACGAAACAAAAACTGCTCCGGAACTGGAACAGGAACCGGAGAATAGGACGGCGACGGAACCAAACGAACAAAAAACGCCATTAAAGGCAACCAAACGGAAAAACGGGACCGGCAAGATAATCGACCCTGTCGCTTCCATTAAGGAGCCGAACTCTATATACACCGACGCTTTTTCCAGTCCCGCACTGACACTCGTACAGGGAAGCGGATTTTGGTGCATACGGGATGTTGGTGTAGACACTTTTC